AGTGTTTTCTAGACTTCTTGTTGTCTGTTGTTGTTACTTTCCTGGATTCGCTCAGTTTGCCTCCATCATCCTTGAAGTGCAGTGGCTAAAACTGGATGTTGCCCCATATGAGAACTCACTGGTGGCTGCCCCCTATGGCACAAAAGTTCCTTCTCATATGTTGCAATACACTACTTTTATTAAATACCTCCTTTTTTTATAAAGGGAAATTCAGCAACGAGCCACCAGGATGGTCAGGAGCTAGAGCACTTGGCCTCTGAGGAGAGGCTGGGGGATGGGGGAGAGCTGGAAGTGAGGTGGCTTTGGGTACAAAAACTGAAAGTGGAGAGGTGCTGACTGGACAGCAAGAGAACCTTCTTCCCCAGGAGGGAGAGGCAAGGTTGGGGACAGGTTGCTCACCGAAGCTGTCCAGTCTTGGTCCTTGGAAGTTTACAAGACCTCACTGGGTGAAGTCCTGAGCAACCTAGTTTCATCTCACAGCTGATACTGCTTTGAGCTGGGGTTGGAATGGAAATTTCTTGAGCTCCCTTTCAACTTGAATTATCCTGTGATTTATTTGATTATTCTTTTGAAAGACTACTGTATTTAATTTGAAGTATCCTAAAACTCCCAAATCTTTTTGTGTCTTCTTCCCACCTCCCTGTTCAGTCACTGTCCTAATTTATTTGCTATTTTATTTACATATTTAATCTTACTTTCCTAAGGAATACTGTTGTCTGACTGACTTGCATCTGACTGATTTCTGCAGTTCATCAAATCCATTTTCAGTTCTTACCCCATTCTCAAAAGTCTCTTGCTTCTGGATCCTCCCCTGGGAGCCTGAGCTCTCCTCCGAGCCACGGCATGGAGCGGATCATTGCAGATTGCCTTGGCATGTTCCAGTCCACTGGTTCTTCAATACCAGTAATTATTCTCTAAATGTGCCTTTTGACTTCTTGTGCAACCACTGCATTTTGACTGAGGCTAGTTTGTGTACAGGGCATGTCACGTGTTGCCACATCAGGAGTTGTACCATCGGTGTCAAAGTCCTGCTGGGCTTCTCTTTGCTGATGCAGATTTAGTCAGTTTTCCAACAAAGGAAGGAAATTTGATCTGAGATGATTCATACTGAGCAACCTCATTATAAACATCTTGATTTTTTTCTTGGGCCATAGAAGCTCTGTCAAGTAACACATGACAGGCAATATTATGCTTTTTCTTTGTTATCCTTGATAATATATACATAGATACGGATATACACACATACATGCCCATATTCCTAAATTTTTATTTCAGGTTGCCAGGAGCAATATCAAAAGGTCTCGTAGGCCATGAGGATCCAGAGGGTGGTGACTGGATTTTTAAACAGTTTTTCTAGTAACTTGCTGGTCCTTGCTGTTAGGCTGGGTATAGCTTTCTGAATCTTCCTTTTCTCCCATCTTACGTATTCTTTTAGCCATTTTTTGGTCCTCTCGGTATCTTCTATGATTTTCTGAGGATAATTGCTCCTAGTTTAGGTAAATCTGTGACATGTCCTAAAATGCCATCAAATGAAGTTTAAGTTCTGCTGAAGATACCGGGACTGCCTTTTTCCCAGCTCCTGTTCCTTCTGCATATGCCGTCCAGGTATTTTCTGTTACTTTCCTCCTTTCTTCTCCTTAGGAAGTGTATACTTTCCATGATCAATCTTACTGGTTTGTAATCTCAATACAGTTACTTTCTGACTTCAGATTATCAACCAAGTTTTCCCTGTCTATAGGGAGGAAGCCTAAAGTGAGTTCTCCTTAGGTAATTTTGTTCGCCTTATGAAACATTAAGTTGTCTCCAGCATAACCCTCAACACTGGAGACCTATATATGTCTTGTCCCACAGTTATTCCAGCAAGTACATGAGTAGTTAGAAAGTCTTGAAGCAGATGGGAATGTGCAAACAGTTTGTAACATGATTGGCTACTGACTTTACAACAGCTGTCTGAAGTAATTATTCCCTATTGTCTTCTATCACGGAGGAAGTTAGCAAGAAAAATAAGAAATATTATTTCTAATGTGAATGTCTTTTCTTGAAGTCAAGCAGGTTAAGTTAAATAAACAGGAGAAGTGAAAATATTCTTAAATAATTATTTTAAAAGGCGATCATAAAGTGAATAGGAGTCCATGTCAGAACTGTGACTGCTGGGAGGTGGATGAGAGGAGAGCAGGTGATGCATAGGCTCACCTCCCTCCCTCCCTCCCTCTCACACCATTAACCAGCCACCCTCATCATGGGTAGCAGATGGCAGGAGCTGTGCAGAGCAAGCCATTCCCCTTCTCCTGCCTTTGCCCCTCCTGCCCATCAGAGTTGTGTCCTATGGTGACTAGACAGGGATATCTTTTATGTGTGGGACATCTATAGCTATCACAAAAATGATATCATGATGGCAGAGTCTTGTTGCAATGTTACTCGTATGGATTTATCTTTTGAGAAGAATAAGATAAGTGCATGTTTGATACATCAGCAATAGCTGATGCTATTTTTGGTTCTACTTTACCATATTACTTAGGAGAATGTTCTTTGTTAAACTCTCTTTTTCACAGAACCTCTGTGTCAGTGATATTAAGTGCCCAAGTGTATTTGTGTTTATTATGGTGGAAGTGCATGCACACATTGAATTCTTTTCCTTCTTTTTGAGGGCATATGTTTCGGGAGCTGAAAATTTGAAGTATTTGAACCCTAACCCCAATTCTCCCTACTGCTGCCTATTTTCTGACCTCAAATACTCACTTAACCTTTTTCCTTTCCTTGGTTCCTTCCTCTTCAGCACAGGGGTATGCAACTAAGTACTTCTCCTGGGGTTTTCACAATTCATTACAAAATTTCAGCACTTTGAAGACATAAAATATGTATATAGTAAATGCTAAATATTTTTACAGTGGTGCAAGGAAAAGGTTGGTTTCTGAATTTGAATTCATTACCTTCTGTAAAATTAATGTTCCTTCCGTACTGCATTTCAATACCTTAGTCATTCAAACATTAATGAGTGCAGAACTGAGTAATGAGTTTTGCACTGCTGCCCTTCTGATTGGGCATTCATGCAGTCATGGGAAATTTTCAGTCTCTAATGATCTGCTTGATTTATCACTGATTCAGTAAATCAAGTCACTTGTATTTAAAGATGATTTAGCTTGAACCTAGATCCTCTAAACCTTTGACGTCTGCTAGCATACAGTACCATGCTGCCTTACTTCGCTCCTTTCAGGACCTCAGTGAGTATGTCCAAATAGCACTGCAGTATGTTTTCTTGATTGACAGATGTTTGGGGATGCTTCACCTGGCATAGAAATGCCTTCTCTTTTACTCTTCTCTTAAAAAGCAGAGGCACAACCTCCTGCCATGGATTCCCATTCAGGAATCCCTCCACACAAAACAACATAGACATCATGGTGACGGGCACGGCTGGAGCATCCAGAAGTCAGTTTGATTGACTAACAGAAAAAAAGGTCATTAGTGACAGCCGCTGAAGTGTCCTGATTCTAATGTCCAGCATAAGTAGATGCATGCACGGTGTGAGAGTATGCATCTGTCACGTGGAGGAGGACTGTTTTGTAGCAAGTTGCAGAGGATGAGGTAGGAGATGGTGAACCAAAGCAGAAGTTTTTATTAGCTAATGCTATCAAAATATAGAGTCCTGCACATCACAAAGGAGAAGCAAATAACTTTGAAAACAAGATGAGGGAGAAAAAATTAACCAGATACAGGAAAGTTTAAGAATTACTGAAGCTGGGGGAAAGGGTGTACACCCTTGCATTTCAAATCATGAAGGAAATAAGAGACAATTAACAACATTAGGCAGCCACCAGCCTGTCTGGCAATGCTCGATAGTCAGTCCAGAGGATGCCAGCCTGCCCTGACAGTAACCAGAAGCGTTTACCTAGTCTGTCACCAGCCCAGTTTCAGGCTACAAAAGGTAAGAGCAAGAGCCATGTTTCTAAGAAGAGTTGCACTTCTTTGGGCTGTTTTGAGCATTTCTGCTGAATTCATGCTGCTGCTGCTCACAACAACCAGCAATGCACAGTCTTGCTGCTGTTAAATTACTGATATATTAATTGCTATCTTTTCTGGATGCTGCAGTTGCATTTTTTTCATGCGTGTTTATTGCCTTTCATTGCTGCCTGCCAAAGATACTGTGGGCAGATCCTCCGTCTGATGCTTTGTTTTAGTTGCCTGGCTACTGTAAAATGTTATCTTAGCTTTTGCTGAGGTGTCACAGATGCTTTCTTGATGAGTGTCCAAACAAGGAAATATGTAAAAGATGCTGGTGAATGCTGTGCTTGCCTAGTTCTGTTGCTTTTGCTAGAGATGCTACAGTATGCTTACATTGCTTTGCTGCTACAGACTATCTGTACAACAGCTACACTGTACCTACAGAAGGTAGACTGAAACCTTTAATTTACACAGCGGGGTCATGGTCAATACCAAAGGTAATATTATCTCTATATGCAAAGGAACTGTTGCTGGAAGGAGATGGGGGGCAACTGCTTCACTTAATTGCAATGCATTCTTTTCTGGTAATTGTTGCAAAGAAAAGGTATTTTTTCTGTTGACTGTATTGCCAGATTTTTCCCTTTCTCTCTCCCTGTGAAAGTCTCCAACAGAGAGAGATTCAAAACTCCAAACTTAATTAGGATGTTGACTTCAAACTTCTTCCTTGCCCAAAACTGAAAGTAACTGATATTTCTTCTGCTCTCTGCATTTTCTGTTTATGCCTGCATAACTTTATCTCTTTACATCACCAGCACTTCTGACTAAATTGTTTTCTTGTACTCACAGTTTGAAACCTCGTCTAGAGTCTCTGAATAAGCTATGTTTCCTTCCAGTCAGTCCAAAAATATTTTGTCAGCAAATAAATAAAAAATTACTTTTAACATCTGTTTTACTTCCTTCTTTAATGTTATTGCAAGTCTTTTTCTTAATTATTCTTGCCTTTTGGCAGTTGCGGTGCATTAATATTTACAAGATGAGATGTAGTTTTCTGTTTATATTAGCAGTCCTCTGTCTGTGAGATCTGGACCAACCAGAATGCAGGATATCCTTTCTCATCGATTCATCAGGTTCATAATGTAAGATACAGTGATAAATGGCTATGTTGTCACTCTATGGCTGTACAGTCTGTTGCCATGGTGTTATCTGCGGGTGTCATGTCGCTGAAATGACAAAAAAAGTTTGTAACTTGTCCGCCCTCTTTTGGGATTATGTGTGCGCGCATTCATGTATCGTGCCGTGTGGTTAGCATCTGTTGGCTGTATGGTGCACATACAGGACATGGGGGGATTGCCAGCAGCAGTCTCACTCAGGGGGAGCTTTGACTTCTGTTCCTGATGTTTTAGTTTGCTCACTTTTCCAAAGCGAGAAACCGTGTAAACAGCTCGGTTTGCACAGTTTCACCCCCACAATGTGTTGTGCTGCCCTTCCTGTTAATCTGTAGGCTTTGCCTAGCTGAGGAGCACGCAGGGTTTGCAGAGGCACTTTTGGGGAATTAGAGGTAACGCTAATGGTGCTCTGAATTTTCATCACTTCTGTGACAGAGGCACATCTGCTGTGCACATGAGAGCAAACCCGGCGATCCATATTGCAGCGTGGTAAGGGCGACAGCCAGTTGTTCAGTTTTCACTAAGCATAGTATTGCAGAGGAGCTGTAGATTCATCTGAATTTCTGTCATATAGCTGTCTCCTTTGAGCATTTATGCCAGAGAGGGGCTGTTTTGGCTACCAAACTTTAGAGGCTTTTAAAATGTGAATACATAGTGAACCTGTTTCCACTATTTCAAAAGCCAGGTATATAAGGAGCTAAAAAAAATTTTTCTCACTCTAGGAATAAAAATGTAAGCAAATAATGAGGATCTGGCTGGTCCACAGAACATTTAAAATTCTTACAGGGAGAAAATCATTAATTTTTCAGCCAGAAGCGTTGTATCTATGTGTGCTCCAATTTATTGTTGTCATGGTGACTAATGCATGTTACCATAACTAAGCATGAGGCTTTAACAGGTGAAAAGTTAAAAAATGTGGTCCTTGTTAAAAATGACTACATTCAAACCAGCTCAAAACCAGCCCCCCTTTTTTTTTTTTTTTTTTCTTTCCTGAAGCATGGAGGCTTTTTAACTTGACATTTTTATAGAAAGTTGAGACAGGTGTTAGATTTTATAGAGATTGTACTGAGATTACTTCTTACCTGTGACTACTGCTGCATCCAGGTGCCTTTAATGTGAGTTGAATACAGTTCTCAGAGAGTAGGATGAGATAGAAAAATGTGCAACAATTGTAAAAAAATTACATAATAGCAGTAATCTGCTTCTGTAGCTCATTTGGCATCAAGCATCTGACCCTTTCTGGAGCACTGAGAAGTACACATCTGCCCATTTTCAGGGTTATGAAGCACTGCAAGAACTTGAGATATTGGTCTTTATGGTTAAAGGAACTTTATGGTTAAAAGTTGTCACTGTAAAAGGATTGAACCTTTGCCACTGTGGCACCTGTTTCACAAATGTGAAACCATTTTGTGATTGTAAATTCTTTATCTGCAAAACATGGAGCAAAAATTCTTCTTTCTCGAGGTGACTGAGGCAGAGAACGGAAGGGCGCTGGTTAAAGTCATGGGGACATTAGAATACTACCACACAGGCAGTACAGCAGAAACCACGTGATAAATTGCACAGCTGTCTGATGAGCTGTAAAGTTAGATGAGGAATAAATTATCTCTTGCCTTCCTACTTCATCAGAGAGATAAAAATCTCCATAGGTATATTGTGTCATAAAAAATACATAAGCTTAAATGTTTGATTATTTGTTATAATTGCAAATTAAATATTCAAACCAGAAAATCCTTATCCTATCATCTATTTATAAAAATTAAAACAAACTTCATAGCTGACCCTGCACAACAGTTTATGAACATTTCTATACTGCTTGAAAGAGTTCTAGGTGATTGTGAAGGTCCTGAATCTCAGTACATCACCTAGGAGTTGTTCCACACCAATTCCTCAGTTTTAGCGCTACTAGTAATTCATATTTTTCTACCCTAGACTTGAGACTTGTAATTTCAGGTCTTCCCTAGGTCAGAGATGTTCCTGCTTTGTATTTTACATGAAGTTAATTGTCATCATCACATCTTAAATCTCAGAATTTCAGTATCTGACTAGATTCAATCAGCTGAGGAGCTCCTTTTCTTTCTGTAGAGATTTTTAGGCCCAGATTTATGAAAGTGTTTAGCTGTCTAAATTTTAGTTTAAAAGCCTTTCTTCCCTTAAAAAACAACAGTAACAACAACAAAGAGAAAGGAAATTGCATGGGGAATATATAATAGGAATTACACTTCTAAGCATCTTCATGGATCTGGGCTTTGGAGACTACCCTGTTAGAACTCAATCTAAATAGGTAATGAATACTAGTAATAGTTTGGTTTAAAAATCTAAGGAGTTTGGTAAGAAACAAAAGGAAAGGAGACCAGAAGCCACTTCTGCTAAATATAAAAACACACTTATGATACAGTTACAAAAGAAAATTTTATGACTATGCATAACATGTCTTCTTCATCCATCATAATAATCTATACCTATGATAATTAATTTTATGCAGTTTTTCTTAGTAGCTGCTCCCTCTACAAAACACACTGAAATATGCGAAAGGTCTTCACGTGCAGTGGTCTGTCAGGAACAGCAGAAATCCTGTATCTCTGCCTTCCCTTGACCTCAGCTGTATTGCGTGTTTAGATCATCCTAGAGACATGTACAGCAATCTTATCAGTTCTGTTTTCTCTAATTCAAAATGAGTAGGTACTAGGATAATTGTATATATATTTATAGAGCAGTTAATGTATACAAATGAGTGGTCTCCACACAGTCCCTCTCTACATGTCTGAGACACTACTTTTATTAGCCTGGGTGAAGATTATTTTTTATTTGCTCGTGATTATTGCTTCCTAGCTCTTCTATAAAATTGAACCGATATGAGAGGTAGTCACTGTTCCTCTTGCTACAGGCCTTCATTGACAGACAGAAACAATGTGGTTCTCCATGGTTTTAATATCTTTCATGTGAAAGGGAGTCAAACTGTGAAGTGATGTGCTCATTTCACTCCCTATGTACCCTGCTTAATTTGTCAGTATTGTCCAATTTCTGCGTGCAAGAAAAGTCACCTCCAGACCAGTGCAACAAAAGGGTTTGGAGCGCTACCCAGGGTCACTACTTCTGTAGAAATTCTGGTCCTACCTCACAGCCGTCCCCGTGTGTCCTTGGTGGAAAGACCTATGGTCAAAAGATGCACTTTTATAACTTCTCTGTCCTGGATTTACTCCTGTTCCATCATAATAACCTTTTGCTAAATGGATAGGATATACCTCCTGAGATCTGATTCCTTACACAGAACATGCAGAGTATATCTTTATTAGGAAAAAAAAAAGGGACTATTTCAAGTGGCGTGTTATCTATGGCCTTGAACAGTTCATAGCAGACAGTTGAGCACACTGTGAGAATTTGTGATGGGTGCAATCCATCTTCTCTTGTAGTCAAATACAAACTTTGCTAATAAGGATGCAGATCCTTGCCCCTTGAAATATGAGTTAAACCTTACTTTATAAGAACTGCTTCTTAAAGAAATCAAATTCCCACTTAGATTAAATAGAATAGGTTTTTATATATTAGTGGTCAGAAGGATTCATTTCTGTGGATACAGAATGCTAAAAACTGGAGCAATTGCTCATGCTGTTTTCCTTTCAAAATTTGAGGTTGAAGTCATATCCATAGCATATAGGCAAGTTAACTAGGCAAAACAGAAATTACAATACTATATAATTTGTAGATGTGCTAATAGTGCCAACGTTAACTAGGTTTGACTTGTTTTATGATGCTCACTTGCTTGAAGTTACCATATCTGCAGGGTAATGTTGATGTTTCCAGATTTATCTCTTGCTTTTCATTGCAGAGTTGTGCAAATGTGTGTCATTTCATTATTTTGTGACATATGAAAATGATGTACTTGTTTTGTTTACTTTGTCCTGATTTAATTAGTAGGATGTGATAGTTTGCCAGACTCTTGAATGTCTTCAATAAGAATTTTTACATGTGTTTTTGATGCTTAACTTCTTTTTGCCTTAAGTCTTAACTTCTAGCCATATTCTGTGTGAAATACTGATGACAATTCCCTGCCAGCTTCAACACATATTTTAACAATATGACATGCATAGAAAATACACAGAGATAAGTGCAGGTAAAGAAAGAAGTAGCATAATCCAAATTGAAATAATCATATGGGAGAGGGTAAAATAGTTTTTTGAGAGAGAACAAACAGGGGAAGAAAGAGGATCAGGAAGGAGAAATCTGATCCCCAAAAGACAGAGTGGGCAGAAGAGGGGAATTCAGAGACAGACCAGACCAGACAGGGAGGGGAGAAGTGAGGCTGGTGACAGAGGGAAGAGGTCTTGGGAAGAGGAGGACACCATCCATGGGTCATTCTCCATTGAAGTGAGCTGATGCTGGTTTGGCAGCATCCCTAGTGTTGTGGAAATGGACAGCATGGGCACATGTGAACCAAGAGTAGGAGTGATCACAGTTAAAAATTGAATAAATAACCTCAAAATAATATTTTTTTTTTGCATGGGCCTACAAGGTGGAAGGAGCCCCCAAGGGCTCAGGGGTCAGACCAGGTCCAATAAAGCCATGTCTGAAAATACGCAATGGCGGGTGAGACCTAAACCAGCACTGCCATGCTGTGGGCTTTCCTGTACCAATGCCTGCGTTGGCTCTTTTTGGAAGGGAGAAGAGAGTCCTGCAAAGGGATTTGGCAGCAAACTTCAGTCTTACTCATGTTCTCTGAGGGCTTTGAGGAAAGAGGAGAGATGACAGCTCAGGGAGGCAATCTCCTATATCAATAAGAATGGTGGATGTGGAAGGGTGATGTTAGTAACTCTACAGTGAGACATCAAGAGAAGGTGATCAAAGTAAATATTCGTAAAGAGATTAAAGAATGCCTCATATGTTTGGAGAATGTATAATAAGTCTTCAGATCAAAGCAAAGTCTTAGTAATTTAGCCATTTAGGAAAGTTAGTTATTGGTTATATGTGCTGGGTAATGGAAGACTTATTAACTGTGTAGAAGAGTTTGTAAAACACATAGTATTTGTGAATGGCATTTTTGTGCATCTCATTATTTTTTTTCAAGTGCTTTTCATATATGTATTGTAAACAATTATTTTTAAGAAATATTTCCGGTGCCTAATGATTTTATTCTCAAAGCAAATAGATTTAGTTAAAGCCTCATTAAACACTACAGTAGATGACTTTGGATTATAAATTAAATAATGAAAAATGTTGTAGAAGTTCTGTTCCCTTATCTTAGTAACATGGCTCTATGTGTAGAAAATAAATTACTGTTAATTGAGCACAACAATGGAGGGCTACTTTATAGCAAATTTGCCTGCAACTTCTCTTACATCTTGAATAACTGTGATTTTCAGACAGGAGACTGGGGAGAGCCTTCAATTACCTTGCGACCTCCAAATGAAGCCACAGCATCAACACCTGTACAGTATTGGCAACATCATCCAGAGAAACTCATCTTCCAGTCATGTGATTATAAAGCATTTGTAAGTGTTGATAAGTTTAGTGGTTTGACTTGGGGTAGATACATTAATCTTAGATTTTAATAGACTGTTGGGTTTTTTCATTGATAATATTTTTTCAGTGACTTTTATTGAGACAGGCCACTTCTGAAATACTGTAATTGTAATAAATGAGAAACAAGGATGCACAGTACTTTTTGCTATGAATTTTACGATATGTTGCAGTCCATGTAGCAATAGTGTTAGAGAACTGACACTATGAATACGTGGCTAAGTGTTGTAGAAGTGACAGTGAAAGCAAATACCCCGACTTCTCATCTGTCACAAATCCCTGTCTAGTACTTATGGAAAAATAACAAAACATAATACAGGATCCTCATGCCTACCTTAATGCTGCATGCACAGTAGTTGAAGTGAGTATTGCCTTGCCTGAGATTTATACATGTGGTTTTAGGGGCGGGAGGTGGGGAAGATGGAGTTCAGGGTCCAGAAGCAATGTTTTCCATCCATGGGAGAAGGGCACGTTCAAACTTCTCTCAAACTGATGACTACTTGAAGTACCAGTAGAATTCAATTCCTTCAGGGCAGGGCGCTTTTATTTTTACCTACCTATAGCTGTAGCTGATTCCCACTTCCCATCCCCGGAGAAATGGAGCTTCCCTATACAGGTAAAAATTATTAGTGTTCTCTCACTGTTATAAACACTTGTGAAGGAGAGGAAGGTCTCCTGAAGTACAGAAAGTCATATTGGAAGACTTTGTCTTTTAAATGAAAAACACTTTTCTGGAGCCTTGAGTTCCCTATCAGCAGGGCAGGGCAGCTGGTTGGTGCTTTTGGGGGGCTGAAGAGGTGCCTCAGCCCACCTATTTAAACTCTTACATTTCCCCTTTCGACTTTTCTGGAAAGCACTTTTAAAACTGCTGAAGGTGCTTCCCAGACCACTGTGTCCTCTTTGGAGGTGACCACCTAATGAAGCAAAGTTGACTTACTTTACAAAGGAAAGAGACTCAGTAGTTATAGTGCCTTTTGCACAATAGCTGAGGGTTAACCACTTGTCCAGGACATGGGTTTTAGGTCCTCTTCACCTGAAGGGTCTTGGATCCTGAATGCTTTTTAGGATAATGCTTTGTTCACCAAACACTGCAGCATTTTGAGGGAGAGTTGGGAGCTGCGGGACCTGATTTAAAGCCTATCCAGAAAGGTAGGAATTGGAGACCAAGTGCAGGTGAGAGAGAGCCTGGCTCCCACTGAGGCGGGGCAGAAGGGATGTTACAAGCCTGTCTTGCTGGAACATGTCTCTATCTTCCGTCAGACCTTTGGGGCATAGAAACTGCCATGAATGCAAGGTTTGTCTCTGAACAGTAACTAGAACCTCTGCCTTCCTCTTCAAGTCACAGCGAAGGTCGCGCTTGCCTACTCTCAGTCTTGCTCTCCTCCTATGCAGCACCTCAAATTGAAAAGGAAGCTTAGTGACTTCTAGTTCTTTAAATATTTTTCATAGTTTTCAGTAAAGTGAACAGGTTTATCTCAAGAGTGTCTCTTACCTCATTACTTGATCCAGCAGTAAATTCATAACCAGATGTAACCTTTGTAGTAGATTGGAAGGCACGTGGATCATTAAAGAAATTAAGTTAGGATGACCAGGAATGTCTAAGTTACTGGTGATTAAGGAATTGCCAAATCAAAATATCCAAGTTATTGCTGATTAAGGAAACCTCTTCCTTTCCTAAGGATCGTGCGTCACTGCACTGTTTCAGCTCCCTGAGTCTTATGGAATAAAATCCTGGCTTGGAAGTTGCAATGGGGGCAGCTTTCATTATATGCCACCACTCAGTTGAACTGTTGGATGTCCTCTGCGTTTCTCCCACATGCTCAGGGTCTTTGAGAAGGAACATTTCCAAAAGTACAGCAAGTCAAAGGAGAGCAAAATTCCGTCCTAGAATTTCATATTTTTTGACAACTAAATTGGACAGTACCTCTGTGATTTGTTTGTCTATTCCACAGTCCACCCTGGGAAGCATTTCTGAATGCCTGCAGCTGAGGCTTTTTGCTGCTTTGCAGATGGGACAAGAGCTGCCTGTCTCTTTTCTTTCTTCCTCTTGTTCTGCCATGAGCTCAAAAGCACTGCCTTTTTTCCCTGATGCCTGACCAACTGGTAGCTTTCAAGGAGATACTTTGTTGTGCTATAGTCTGTTAAAAATAACCCAAGATTTTAAAATTGAAGAAATTAATTGCATCCTTCCAAGAGAAGGCTAAGGATGCCAGAGATGTCAGACAGCAGGATCCAGAGGAGGATACAGTTCAACTCAATACTCTTGTTTAATTTTCTAATTTTGGAGTTTGCTTTAAATTCACTGTTCTTCTGGAAGGGCGATATCAAGCCATCCCATCAAATTAATGCCCACAGCCCTGTTGATGTCACCATTGAGCCCCCAGCTGGACTCGCAGCTGCTTAGTTTATGAATCTTTCACATCTGCAGTCCTCCAGGAATGCCCTTCATTCGTTCCTTTCTGCTTGTGCTTATCTGGTAGTGTGGGTGTTGCTCACCCTTCCATTTATAATGCCCTGTAAAGTGCTTCTCACTAATCACCATGTTGGCTACTGTCTACATTGAAATATTTATGCATTTTCTTGCAGATCAGAGACTCCTGCAGTACACAGTGTGAACAGAAGGCTTTAGGTCTGGAGACCAGAAAGTTGAACCAGTATACTTTCTGTTCAGTTCCATCTTGTGTTGAGCTGTAACTGAAGTTATTTTTGATAGGTTTTTGTTTAAGATTAAGCTGGTTCGCTATCTGATTGGGTCAGTTTAGGCTGTTTCCAAGGCGAGTCAGTGTGGTAGAATGAGAGTCAGCAGTGATGATGGGCTACAGCCTCCTCTGGGAAGAGGCTCCTGCCCCCGGTGCTTTCCTTCCTGCAGCTGACCTACCCTGTTCCCAGTGTCATACCAGTGGTGTGACTTCTCTTCAGCTCCTGTGTTTCTCACTTAAGACCAAAGACTTAAGAGAAGCCATGGCATTGCACTGCAGTGAGAATGCAAAGAGAGATGTCTGTGCCCGCGGAGGAGACGATGAGGGGTGACTTACTGTCCTATTTCACCAGCTAAGCCAGACTTGGATGTGACACCATGTCCTGTTTGCCCAGAGCTGTATGAACATGTGCACATCCACAAATGCACATGCCTGTAGCATCTGTAGGAGAAATGCAGAGCGTGGCTCTCACACAGCCCTGTTAGCCGTAACAAGGCAGCACACTGCCAGGCAAGAACGGCAGAGACGATGCAGCCAGCTCGGGCCCTGCAGGAGCAGCGAAATTCGGATGTGGTGTGGAGAGGTACTGAAACCCCAAAGGAACAAATCCAGAACATCAGAGCCTGCTGTCTGGGTGCAGGAGGGCTCAAACTGCACATGCCAGCAAGTGACATCATGAGGAAGAGGCAGGTAGGGAAGGGGATGTGCCAGCGAGGCGCTCACTGCCCTGCGTACCCTCGGAGATGAGCAGGCTCCTGCTCAGAGCACAGCGGCTTTCAGCGAGCTGAGCCAGGACCCAGCACCAGCTCCCTGCTGCTTCCTCTCACCCAGCCCTCCTCCAGATCAGTAAAGGCTTCAAAATAATAGTTCAGGGTCAGCCTTTCCTTAGGAAGAAATAATGGTTTAAACTAGTTTTCAGTTCAGATTTATTTTCTCTCTTTGCTGACATTGGGCTCTGCTATTTGCACATAAATTAGTTACAGATTGAGTACACAGAGGTTAACATCGCTGCTGGCCTTCACATCCACATGATTGCACACATAGCAATGTGAGTTTGGCAGATGGCAGCTAAAAAAAGATGATTCACCATTTTTTTAATTTAATGGCTTTTTTAAGATGGAATCTGTAGTATTTGTTTGTTTGAGTGCCTAAGGTGATAAACTGGAAGACTTTCAGATATTGTTTCAATGAGCTCCATCCGATTCAATATGGTTGTTGCTGTGCATTCCTGTTTCATAAATTGATTAACACACTGGATTAAACGATTTATCAGAGAAATGCAGAGTAAGAAAAACTCTAAAGAAATATATTGAGTTGACTGCTACCAGTATGGGATTTTAGGCGTTTTTACTGCATTTCTGCAGATGTTTATCTGTTTTGGAATTTTAGTTAAGTTTAATGGATTTTCATTTTAGTATTTAGGTTCTATGCTGGTAAAAGAGTTAAGAGGCACAGAGTCAACACAGGATGCGTGTGCAAAGATGAGGGTAAGTTAGTAAACCTACTCCTTTGTCATCGTAATATATAATATCAACCTGTGATTATTTGTACTGTGCCTTTTTTGCTTTTATAATGTTCTGCTACCCATTTGTTTTCCATTGCCCTTGCATTTACATTGGTATCCAGTAGGAAGTCTGCTCTGCCTTTTATCTTCATTTCAAGTAATACCAAAATTTAAGGGTAGATTTTTATTTTACATGTGGTATCTAAGAAAAAAACAAATGTATAAATTTTCATTTGAATCTTTGAGTATGTTTCGAAGTACTTTCTGCACACTTTAAATATGCCTACATCACATTTCTTTTATAAGCAGAATTTATAGCTCGTATATGATAGTCTAGACTGAATTTACTATGTGAAAATATGTGCTAGTAAGTATATTAACATGTTACCAAAGCCAATGTTTTTTAAGTATCGTCTAATCCTCCAGTCACATAATCCTATCGGTGCTTTCACTCACATGAGTATTCCCATTAATTATGAGTTACATGCTTATTGATTGAAGGATGATAAGGGATCTAATTCAGTTTCATCTGACGGTAGAAAAACAGCTAGGTTTCCTTCAAACTGGTAAGAATACGTTTTCCTGTGGCTCTTTGCCTACACTGGTTTGTAGAAAATTACAATGAGGATCCATCGTCTCCAAGAAACATACTGCTACTGGAAACTCAAAACAAGCCACAGGCCAGCTACATGATTTATTCCCAACTATAGCTGTAATAAGAGCACACCTGTTCATAGAGATGGTGAACATATCATGGCCTGGCATGATTAATTAATGAAGAATATAGTTGTTTGGTAATCTACCCAATGTGTAAAATTATGCAGATGAATGAGTGAAATCCTCTCTTCTGTGGATCATAAGCCTTTTATTCAAGATGCCTCTGAGCACTAGACGTAGAATTCGGATCAATTAGAAAGCTGGAAGATGTGTAAAATTCATGCAATCAGACAACCATTTCCTATTGGTTGCATGTCTGCAGCACACAAACTTTTGTACAGTCTGTTTTAGCTAAGGGCTGGCAGTAATTCACCCTTACTAGATTGCCTGAAAATCTGTGGATTTTCAGCTACTTACATGCTAATCATTCCTTACCTGGGCTTAAACTCCTAAAAAAAAAAAAAAAAAACCACAACTTGACACAGAGGGACCTACAGTTACATACGCGTGTTCTGGGGAATTAATTGAGGCTGCAAGCATACCCTCTTCCAATCCAGCTTTCAATCTGTCAGACTGAGCAGTTCAATTTTTTAGGCACATGCCTGTGAAGATTTTAGGGCAGAATTTGACACCATAGTAGCATATGGCAACTTCAGTAAGTTATTTGACTGAAGTAGGAAGCTTAACATCAAAAGAGTCACTCTAAATAATTTATAGTTATTTTAAGATATATTTTTTTTAAGTAATAAATTTGGCAAAGTTAAATTATATACCTGAAAAAATAAGTGTTTGAAAACAAATTTAATTTAAAATACAGTGTTTCTATAAAAATAATGGAGTTGCGCTCGTAGTCTGTAGTGCCATACAGGGCACTTGTATAAAACCCCCATCCCTGTATTATATATTTATTTTTTACATTCTCTTTTTAAGCTGTTGTGCTGTGAGAATTTTTATTTTCTGGTTTGAGGGGTTTTTATTGCAAAGAGGCTTGAATAAAACTCTTTTTAACCAGGATTTCATCTATTCTTTCTACACAGTCCTTTTAATCATATTCCTATTCAAGTTAGAAGCAAAAAGCATTGACTTAATGGGAACAGATTATTATTTTCACATCAGTTTCCCAGTGAGAAAAATGTGTCTCTTTCTAAAACTTTCTCCCTCTGGTTGTGTTCTGAAATTTGGTGTCTATGAATTGGGAGTCCAGGTTGTCCTAAGTCATTCTGAAGTTTTGCTGTAATGTTCATTATTGTATTTAAGTACCACTGGGCTGTTATTGAAAATGTGGCTTTTTTTATAGTTACATTTTACTTTAAATGTACTGAAAGGCACATTGCACTTACAAAAAAGAAGTGAAAAGCTAGATACATTATTTGACTGCTTCTCAGGTACTGAATTCTGTCCCCTTATCCAATGTCTCTAGAGTCAGTAAGATTTTTACATAGGGTTGTACTAATTTGGTAGAGCAATGTTTTTTAATTTTAGGTTGCTTTTTTTTTCGCATTTATGTATTTCAAATCTATAGCATGTTGCAATATGAAACATGTTTGGGGGCAAGTATGTCACATATAACCTGGTGCCGTGTTGAGGTCCGTCCCTGCAATTTTTTAATCTTTATGGAGTCAGCCACAGAATGGCTTTTAAGGAGAATGTGTGAAAATTAGGTACCTAATTTTTCTGTCAATGTAGCTTTAGCTTCTCCATCTTTAACCTAATGCTCCTCAAAAAAAGTGTTGATATTCACTGGATGTCTTCCAATCAGCAGATGCACAAAGACCAAAGAAGCCTACCAGTGAAAAAAAGTATCTTGAGCTTCCTTAATCATTCATAGATACAGAGAAACAACAAAAATGACATGTTTGCTGACTGCAGAACCCTCCCTGTTAGTCGTAGATGCTTCCTGTGCTTTCAGTTATTGCAATTGACAGTTTTGATTCTCAAAGGAAATGTCATGTGGATATTCCTTGTGTCTCTCCACAGAAGGGCTTACAGCAGCCTCCTCCTCTTATAGCCTAGGAGTGAAGTGAGATCCTAAATCTGCTATAATATGTTAAACAAACAAACAAACAAACAAAAACAAACCAAGCAACCAAAAAAAAAAAAAGAACCTGGGAACTTCTGTCTTAATAACTCTTCTTGGTTTATCCACTGTGCTTCTCAGCACTGTGCAGCAGTGTGCTCCAGCAGCGCAGATGATGGATTTGTTTGGGGAAAATCATGCAGATGCAATAGGCTGAGCTCAGCACAGGGGCCAAGGTTATACATGCTTTTTGTTCCCACCCAAATTGCAGACTCTTGCAGCCATCCAAAATCATGAATATTTGGCAAGAACTGTGCATATTAGAGGGATTATACTTTATTTTTCCATTCACATATTTGCACTCCAAGGATGGATTTATATTTTATGGTTTCCTATTTGTTTCCAGCTATTTTCTCTCGCAAACTCCCTCTGCAGTCGACAACACTGTCTCCTTATCTCCATTCCCCACCTGCTGTAAACTGACCTTTGTTTGCTACTTGGAGATTAAATCTTGCTGTCCTGGCCACAATAGATTTATTAATTATGTTCGAGAGATTCCGTCAAGAACTTAAGAGCTTTCATCTTTCTCAGCATGGAATAGGAAATATTACAAGTTATGTTTTCAATCAGATTACTGCCTTCACTTCAAATCACCATAGGAACATGAAACGAGAATAAAATGTGTTTATATCAAAATAAAGAGAAGGAATAAAGTTTAATTGTAGCTAGGAAGAGACTTGGTCTCTACAGTGGACTCCATCTGGCATTTACACATGTGAATTCTTTGACCAGGTAGGAAGGGAACAGTTTTATATTTACTGGCATGAGTACAGTGGCAAGGTAGACTTTCCTTGCACTGATGTTGAATCACTAACAATGCATACATCGGCCACACACTCTGAACCAATCAGAGAATTACTGCAGCAGTAGGGAACTTAGATTTCGTTCTTGGATCCTGCCACCTTCCTGAACATTATGGATCTTTCTTAAACGTTTTCTTGTTAAAAAAGAGGTTCTTACATTTCAAATCAAAGTTCTGGGGAGCCAGCAACAGAATTATATTCACAAAGCAGGTGTTTAAATATCTTGCTGACTTAAGACCAAAATGTCAAAGTTGGAATTGTTACAAAATCTGCTTCTTTTATATCTGAAGAGGAAGATGAAACCGGGTTGACTTTTCCACTGAAAATAGGCAGGCTCTGGGGCTTTCCTTCCTCATTTCTTACATAAAGAAGGAGGACCTGGATATAGACAGCAGTTGCATTGCTTCTGTTAATCCCTTTCTATTTTTCAATCTCCATTTCATTTCTCCCCCCCAAAAGTAGAAGCATCCTCCATAGGCCTGCTAGTGAAACTAGCCTAGCAAATACCATGTCGGGATCAAACACTGTATTTGAGAATTTAGATTCTTCAGTCTGTTCTCTTGGGACTTGTAGCTCTGTTTCTCTCGTGTGGCCACTGCTTTGGGAGGGCCTGCAGTGGAACGGGCACATGGATATTACTCAAAAGGAAAAAAGTAGTGGTGGGAGGTCTTAAAGTCGTTCAGTCCTTATGCACATCCGCATTATGCCATCCCATGTTTTTCAGAGGATTATATGTCCTCAAACTCTGTGTCTGAAAGGAATCCAAGGTTCAGGAGGGATGCAGTGCCCTTTCGGCAGCAGATGAGTGTGTACAGATATTGCAAAAGCAAAAAACCTCTCATTCTCAAGTAGATGAGTTGCAGGTGCATCCCCAGTGCGATGTTCATGTTAATGATGTAGCTTGGAGGCATCCACTAATTGTAGAAAAGTAAACAGTCTTGTACCACAGGGATTACAGATGCTATCTTATTCCAAGAGGTATTAAATTATGTCAGTGATGCATTTTTAAACCTTTTGGACTGAGAGAAGTTAGTAAATATTTGTTAAAAGGCAGATTGTAGTTTCAAAATTGGTTTCAAAACTAACTGGTCAAATGTAAACTTTGACTTTTTACTTCAATTCCATCTCATGCATGATATCATCAAAGTGATTCACTCAAAAGGAACTGTTCAGCAAGGCTTCATAAGATTTAAATAAGTAATGGACTTATGGGTATGATAATAGGGGGTACCAGTACATATTTTGAAATGTGTAGTCTGATGCCATTTGGAATTAACAGTTGCTACCAGTATGGGAACATGTTCGGATTCTTATAGTGAAGTGGATTCCAGTGCATAGTTGAATAGTAAAACTGCCAGCTACAGTCTTCAGATAGCTATTAAAAACCAGTATAGGACGGAGTTAGCAGATTCATTTGCAAAAGTAAAAAGCAAAGATGAAACCTTAAGATTTTACAGGCTCATAAACTTGTACTCAAAATGTATGTATGGAATTGTTAGTGACTTGGCATAGTTCAGTAATGTCTTTTTGCTGTGTATTTGCAAGACAGAGTATAATTACATATGCAGTAAAACCTAAAAATTAACATGGTTTCATTTTGGCCACTGTATGAAAGCTGAGTAATCCTGTTATAAATGTACATATAAGTACAGGAAAGTGGTCAACGTGGCAAAGTAGAAGTAGCAGTGTATCCCATTTCCTCTTGGCAGGAAATAAATAGATGAGATGAAAGTATTTTGAGAGTGGGCTGGATTACACCATGTGCTACAGTATATCAAGTGAATGTGTGAGCATCTTACTCAGACACCATTCTACGTGTGCTCCTGAATTTCTTACTTAGCTGCTTTGTGTGTGTGTGTGCACAGAGACACCATGTTTTGTACAATGCAGGAGTATTCAAAAGTGTTGGATTGGTTCTCTCAGTTCTGCACAGAACAAGGTATTGCAGTGCAATCTTGTCTTGAAAGGGTTAAATGCCCATTAGGGTTATAGATTTTGTCTTTGCATGTATTTGCTTTTTAAAAATAAGCCACTAGTTTATTTTGCTGTATTCACTGAACAAAGTCCTGTGCCTCTTAAGCCATTGTTAATTACCGTGATTTGTTAGGCACACTGGCTGGGTGGGTCTCAAATGAGTTGGATTTTAGTTTATATTCTAAATAGCAGTCTAGCAGTTCTACGCAGCCTTTAACTCAAAATCTAAATACAGGTGGAAATGCTTTACCCCCTTAAGACAATTTGTAATACTGTACTGTGGAAATCAGAGAGTCTGCTTGTGAGTACGGTGGTTCTTTCAGTGAAACTAGAGAAAATCATAAACCAGATCAGATGCAAGCTTGAACTTGCTCACTCTCTCTGGCACCACTGCTCTTGCATCCCTTTATAACCGGTGTCAAAAAGAGGAATTGGGAGCAGCCCTGTCCAAGGCTGTTCAGGGTTCTGGCACTGTCCTGCATAATGGCAGCAGCAGGTTCAGAGGCAAATTCAGAAGGGTCTTAAATCCAGACCTTGATTGTAAAAGCAAGCACTGTGATAACTAGGTAACTATGCAGAAGACACCTTTCACCTCCATCCACTGGACGGATCTCCATTCTGGGTGCTGAGAGGGTGAAGCAGCTTCATCACAGCAGCTGCTTCACAATACAGGAAAGACTGCTATTCCTGTTACTGTTTATTCAGAGGAAAAAGAAGCTGTATTTCTTTGGGGGGGTCTGGGAAAGCTGGCTATATGTCACATTAGATTTAGGGTCATCATGCTTTCTTCCATCTTCCTGTGTCTGCAGTCAAGCCTGCTTTATGGTTCTTGAGTTACACATGGCCTACTTCCACATAGTCATCTACCTGTCTGGTAGGAAGTATTTCAGAAGCGGGACCAAAGCTCAGTCTCTCTGGCATTGCAGGCTGTGCAGCATTAAGACTCTTCGCTGCAGGAGCAGTGCACCTAAGGAGACAGGGCATGCACATCTGTCCTCAGGTAGACTACCAGCTGATCAGAGACAGGTGCTGGCAACGAGCCTGGAATATCCTTGCTGTTCATCCAGATGATTCTCCTAAAAAAGTGTATTAAAACAAAGAGCCAAAGTTACAGTCACAAATGATGGAGTTCATAGGAACTATAACCAGTTCCAGGCTAGTGAACACTTGCCCAAAGACAGGGTCCTGTCACTATGATTCCTTCTACATGAGATAAAAATCTAATCCTGACATTATGGTATGAGCATGCCTTGGAGCAGTAGACCATATGTCAGCATGCACATGACATCCAATGCCAGCCTTCAGCTGTGACTCTTATAACTTTGGCTGAAGTCCATATGCTTCCCATAGAGGCACCAGATGGACAAGAATATTTTGTCATCTCATCATGTCCTCACAGAGTTGATACAGTGGCTAGAACTTGAAAAACCCAAGGAAAGGGCATATTGACTCCTGTGTCCCACCTTCTTCTTAGATTCTGGTCACAGGGACAGGCAGAGATGCCCACTTGGCCTGCACAGAGGTGTGAAATGTCTGACCATGAAAGCTGTGGGACTCCATCTCAACATCCTAGAATTTAGAGCCAAAGCATTTACACTGCCTGAGTGAATGGCATTCATATTGTATCTCTGAAAACTCACGTTACACATCCTGGCAGCCACCTCCTCCATTAAAAAGAAGGGAACAGCAAGCAAATAATGTGAGCTTACCATGACAACTCAAAACTGTTGAAGTTTGGAAAATGCTTGGAAATAGTAATTACATGGTGGACTTCAGTTACTGTATCACTGCAAGTTGAGCAGGGGGAATAGAGCTGGGTGTTTGTCATGATAGTAGTGTCATAATAACAAAGGATGTTATTCCACTGCCCAACTGTTTGTTGCAGTGGTGGTACAAGTGCAGAATTGTTTCCCAAAACCATGTTTCTGCACTGGAGTACCATCTTCCTGAACACCTTTGCACAAATCCTGGGGTTTGTAGGGTTTACAGGCTAATAAGGGACACCCCCAGCTCCTTACCAGATCAGACAGTTTGGCTTAATAAATTCCAAACGTCCGTCATCCTCTGATTCATTTCCTAATTTGCCAGCTATAATTTAATAGTATCTTGATGAGCTGTTTCACTCAGATACAGTCTTCTGGCAGTTCACAACCTCGATTAAATAGTAAAGATCAGGTCTGCTCTAGACAAACCCAGGTGAATGTGGAGCAGATAAGATGATTAAATTGCAAACTACTGGTCTAGATGAAAGAGGATTCCCAGATGATTAGTACATCATGGCCTTGCCAACAGGAAGCTTCACCTTTATGGCAAATGGAAAATAGTGCAAATTAGACCAATAAGCTAAAATAAATGAACCTTAGTAGCTGTGTTTGTATAGCGTGTTGGAGGAGAAGAGGAATTCTCTTGCTAAGAAGGCGAGGAAGGAGATAATTACAATAATCAAAATGGGAGACAAAGAGCTCCTGAGCATAGCTGTCGGGATAGAAAGAAAGGACAAGAGTTGGATGATTGCTGGGTTGCTAGATGATTAAAGTGATGTTGTCATATGGTGAATATTTTGTCTGGTTTTGAGCATATGCGGGGTATATTGCTTGTTATTCTGATAGACGTATGCACTGCAGCTTCCGTACAGTCACTGTCGTGCTTTCTGTGCATTGAAATGGAATCTTATGAAAAGGCTCACTTGAGATCTATTATAGAGACACACACGCAAACATACAGACAGGTATGTACTTGCTCTGCTTTTGGCAGGGATACCATTTCTTTCTTCACTCAGTTCAGAGCCGTGCAAATCAGATTAGTGTCTTCCTTCAGACTCTGTTTAGATTCTTCAAGATGTTTTACCATTTAAGCTTTCATTTTTTAAAAGTGCCTAGCCACCTGGGTGAAAGAAGCTTTCCCCGGGATAAATTGACACTTGATTGTTGTCTTGAGTCTCTTGTCATTTGATGCTGAGAGATGCAACAGTCCTCTCTATTACACGGATGGGTGGGGCTCTCCTTGAAACTTTAATTAGAGATTTTAGCCTTCATGGCAAGGACACTAATTGCAGAACGTAGCTGGATCTCTGGTTTTGAATTTTATGCTGGCAAAAATGGAATCTCACTTGATTCTGGAAGGAATGAGATCTAATAAGGGGACTTGATTACAGGGTTTTTTCTTTTAATCTTTTGTTCGTTTTGCTCTCTAGTGTTAGCATCACCTATTTTTCCAACTTTTTTTTTTTCAGATACAGTCTGTTTTCAAGCTTATATTTATGCTGTTTTATTTTTCTTGAAGAATACAAAACCACTGCTGCTACTTCTGTTCAGCTGCTCTAATGATCTTTCTAGGTGCCAATTCTAGACCTTTCAATGTGTTTACACTTGTTCTGTGTGCTGGTTTCTTCGTATTTAACTATAACTGAGCTTACTCTTTCCTCTTGAGATAATGTTTGATTGATCTCTGTGATTGTTTGCAGATACTCCCATGAGTGAGTGTTCTCTGAATGTTATCCACTTTATTTATCTACAGTAGTTTTGTATAGAATAGTCTAGACCATTATTGCTTTCCACCTTAAAAGAATTCAAATCAGCTATAAACTATTATGCCATATTTGGTTTTCTGTTTGGTTGTTTTTGAGGTTGTTTTAGTAAATTTAATCGGTAAACTAATCAATGTTTTTTTCTGCTTAGGGCTTAAGTCTATTTCAAATATTTGCCCAGTCTGTTCAGCAGGAAATACCTTTTCTGTGTGCATCACGTTGAAGGCACACAGAAATAGACTGGCATGAAAAAAAAAAAATCCTTATAAGAAGACATGAACTGTATGTAGGAGAACCTGGCACTGAGGGAATACAGAATAAGCCTCGGTGCTAATTCATGTGTAAAGCAGCTTCCAGTAGCAGCTGCACTCGAGGAAGTGCAGACGGTTAGACGTGACAAGTTACAACGTTGGACTGACAGATTGACTGGCAGGCCTAGAGGGCTGCAGGGATACCTCGTGTCACAAATACAACTTCAGGAAGGCAAGGGGTGAAATATTTCTAAAGAACAACTAATTGCAGCAAAGGAACAGTACTACAAGAAGTACCACACTGTTGGTTTTTACAGATGGGGAGGGGAGGCAGTGATGAGTGGGGCATATCAGATAGATGTCTTAAACGTGCATGTTTTGGGCAATGCTGATTGCTATGACTGGTCTTTTTAAGCCCAGCAAACTTATTTCATTCTATTCCCATTGTGCTAAGAAAAAAAAAGAATTTTTACCATCCTCACAACAAACTGTAAAGCTCCTTTTAGTTTTGTAACTACAAGACAGCTATTTCAAAAGCTCAGAGCATAGTCAGCTCAAAAGGCAAATATTTGGACACGTACCTTTTGTTTAACTTAGGTATTTTGCCCAGAAGAAGAGAAAAAGCAGTGTTCCTGCAATGCAGCATAACTCTAACAACATCTTCATTTTGTTTTCAGAAGTCTACAGAACAAATGAAGAAAGTACCAACCATTGTCCTGTCCGTCTCTTACAAGGGAGTCAAATTTATTGATGCAACAAATAAGGTATGTGCGATTGTTCAGTATTAGCTTTTATTTCTCACAAATAGGAATACCTATGAGGCTGCCTCTGTAAGAGCACCAGACCTGAGAGGGGACAGAGTTGCACTTTTTGTTTTCCTCTTTTTTTCTCTTCTCTTCAAAATAGATGTAATCTCATTGTTATTCTCCAGAAATTCAGTCTGGAGGACAAGTGAAGCAGCTTTAATGGCTCATTTAATGGCTCATGGAACATTGTGTTCAAACTTCTGCCATTAAAAGACAGGCTTATCACAAAAGACATTTGGCAGGAGGCCTCTGTGGAATCCTTTACTACATTCTTACCTATGTACAGGTCCTTAAATATGCAGAATATATATATATATATTTGTTCATTAATATCATTTTGGCAAAAAAAAAAAAAAAGATGTTTCAATGAAGAATAAAGATGCAAGGTTTTATCCAGGGCCAGTCATTGTAAGAATAAGAAACATGAGCCTTGAATGTCTTTTTCAAATATCAGAGCCTCTCTGAGAGCTGTTTTCCTGGTACTAGACATTTGACTCCCTGAACTGCACCATCTTCCTAACAGTTGTTACTCTATATTTTTTTCATCTTCCTGTGTGGCAATGACCCTGTGCTTTGTTTCTTACATTTTTAAATACATCCTGCATCTTTAAAAAAAAAAAAAAAGGGAAAAAATAAAAGCAGAAATGGAGAGGTCAGAGAACTCAGTGGTGGATAGAGCAATGAGTTATTGCTTAGCCAAAGTAAAATATACAAGCTCTGTAAGCAAGAGTAAATGCATGAATTTATCTTCTTCGAGTTTCTAAAATGGCAAGAAAATGCAGCCCATACTCATGCTTGCATATGAATAGAAAAGGAATTATCCTTCTCTGTTATGTGACTAAAACTAAGCAATATAAAAAAAATAAATCTGACAACCCATCTACCTAACCAGGTTAATAATGTATATAACTGCTTTGTGTTGCTGAGCATTCAGACCACATGATACATCTAACCCAGCATCCATCAAACTTGCCAAGTCAGTCAGTTTTTAAAGGTGTTTAACTAGAACTGGGTTTTAAGTGAAGGAACAAAAGCAGGTTTGTGAACTTCTGCGAAAGTTCAGAAGCCATATCTAGGGTTAGAAGATGGCATGAAAGAAAAACAGAGGTGAAATTACTGTTATGTCAAGTCTGACGTATTTGCCAGAGCAGAGAGGCTAGGGGTTCCTGTCAGCTCCTTTTTCTTCCATTGGTCCAAAACTGAGCTTCTACAACCCTCGTTTCCTTTATGTTCTCTGATGTGCAGGGCATAAATCAGGGCATCGTAATGCTATTAACTCTAACTTGGATAAGGCTGTTTTCAGCTTTCTTAAATCTCCTCTGTAGTGTAAGGGATGTAACTGCAATGCCCTTAGGTTTACAAAAAAAATCAGAACAAAAGGACCTTCCAGTATTTCTTTGCACAGTGCATACAATCTTACGTAAGATGGAAACTTGAAAGAAGTTTGGCAAATTGCACTAGGTGGCTCTAGACCAGTCCCACTGAAATCTTATGCCTAGTAGTGCAATAGATGTGTTTGATGGAGGTAAATAATGCCACAGTCCTGTTTTTTTTTTTTTCTCAAGTGGTAGATTGCTTTCTCTCCAGTTCAAAATCTGCACTGCCTTTCCGTTCTGTAAAAACCAGGTAATAGCCTGCAACTCTCCCAGGAGCATTGTTATCATCCTTGTCCACAGTGTGCTGTACCCAATTCCTTCAAGACCCAAAACAGATTAGCACTAAGGTGAGATCCTATTCAGACTTGTACCGCTTCCATATGAGCTTATAGTTGACAGCGCTGGGCACCACTTAGCAATGTATACTTTTTAATGACAAAAATAACTAGCAGTTATGTGCTTGAAAACTCAGCTCTCATGGCTGTTCATCCTTTTCCTTTGTGCCACCAAGCTAAGAATTTGTATTCCAAGTTGTAGCAGGCAAAGCGTCAGGTGACAAAGGGGCCCTGACCTCATTCCACAACAGCTATTTCAGTGGCGCCTTTAAGCTTGGCATGACACCACTTTGACATGACACCATTTCTTTGCAAGTGAGGCCAGAAAGAAATTGCTGCTTAGGAAAAAGCAGGCTTGCAGAATTTTCTTGTGGGTCACAGCTAACCCTAACTTCTGGATGATTTCTGCCAGGAGGGGGATTGGCTGACACGAAATACCAAGCAAAAGGAAGGCTGCTTAGCAAAAACCTGATCTCTCCAAGGTATTCTTGGTATTTCTTTGGCAGAACCAGAAGCGACTTTCAGCTTCCCTGCTTTTTGAGAAGTGCCAGGGGTTCCTCTTGCCAAACTGAGTGACAATTTTTAGAATAACGGCTGTGCAGTGTCGGTCAGTGCCTGAGGAGCGTACCCAGAACAGCGAGATGGTTCATAGCCTTGTAGTTTCTACAGAATAAGACTATGGGTCTACTGGAGTAGTGACCCTAGGAAACAGTAAACACATCAACTGAGAACATGTTTAATTTTGAGAGGAGATCACAGAGGATATCCTATAGAAGCTAGGGAAAAGCTGAATTTCACTACTAGTTTTCATCCTGAAGATTCAGCTTAGGTATACTTTATTTTATTCAAAACAAACTTGATATGAGTATGTTTCCAAACTTCACTTGATTTCAAGTTAAAACATTAAAACAATCTGCATATGTTTTGACTAAAGTGCAAAACCCTGTGTCAACCCCAGGTCACCTAGGAAAAGTTTCAGCACAGCGGAGCTCTTTTCACATACACTGCATAAATTCAGATGATTACTTTGTGGCTCATGATTTGGCATAAATACTTCACGTGATTTTAAGACCTCCCAAGCTTTAATTCTTTCTGCTTTCTAAACTATAATGTTGCCAGTACAACATCAGTGATAGTGTATTACAGCCATATCTGAGGATATCTAAATCCCTGGTTTTGGTATAATTGTAATTCTCATAAAAATCTTTATTGAGGGGTAAAAGTTATCAATTCAAGAACAAAGAAAATAAAGTGCTTAAAGTAACATAAAAACAAATGATTGTTAAGTAGAGATTATACATGTCGTTATAAATTGGCATATATTGAAACATAAGTACTGGTTTTGTCATTTTTATGAATAATGCATTAAACAGAGATAATCAAGTATGTTGCAACAATTTAAGATTAAGAGGATTATTTCATTTCTTCAGTAACAGTTTCCTTATCTTTCTTTTTCCATAAATTGAAATTTGGAATGCTTTTTATTAAGATTTTTCTTAAGCCACAATTTCTTCAATTAGATACATTAATACATTAATATGTCTTTTTGAAAACTTGACACCTACATGCAAGAAGGAAAGTTGCCACTTAGCAAATGAAAAATGATACGGCAAATCATCTTAAGTGACTTAGTTGCATATATTTCCCATTCTTAAAAAAAAAAAAAAGAGATGGGAAGGAAGGGAGAGGGGTGAGGGAAAACCAGAGATGCTCAGAGATTGTTTGTTTTAAATTGAACAGAAGCCACTGAGTCAGCAGCAAACGGTGGCTCTGGGAGGGACCAAGACACTACAGATGTCACACGTTCTGTGGTGCAATAGCGATGTCACGCTGCAGCAGGCTTGTTCACTTTGGGTGTCTGTGGACAAGCCAGAGCTGCAGCCAACAGCGCCACAATTCAGAGAAGCGTATGAACTAACCGCTAAGTAAATTCACATTCAACGTATCATTCTTCTGTTTCAGTAAATCATTTGAAATTAGTGTGTTGCTGAAGCAAGGCCTAATCATAAGCCACTCTGCAGTATCTTCTTCTCTGGCTTCATGGTTCCTCTGGCCTGAACACAGTAATTGCATACCAACAATTTATGTAACGAATATCCATAATTTTCTCCAAAGCTTTAAGACAGCTTCTTTTTATTTCATTGGACAGACATGCCCCACCTCTATCTCAGTAGTATGCTATAGCTTACATTGGCTGTTGCAAGTAGTGTTGCTCGGTGCATGAATGGTTTAATTTTTCTACATCTCTCTTACAGGATGCTGTGTCAGTAAGTGGAAAAAAGTTGCCAGATCCTCCTGTAGTTATCTTTTTATTTAGTAGAAGTCTTTCAAGAGCTCAGGGTTTCAATTATAAGTGATATTTGGTGGGTTTTTTCTCTTGAAAAAGTATAGCTGAAATTTGTCAAACAACATGTGCAAACACCTGGATATTGAGCCTGTTGGGTTTTGCCAGATCCTGTCTGTCAGTAGACTGAAAGTGTCATGTAGTGATCATTACACAGAAAGCCAGCGGCATCATAAGATGCTCATATAGTGCTTTGAAATTGTATTTACAGCTGTATGCCAGGAAAGATGTCTCTATCATAGGATACTGAATAAACTATACAAAACTCAAGTAGACTCATAGGAAAGACTCTAGAATATGTAATTGTTTGCTACCAGATTATTGGCGATTTTAGATACCGTCGAAGAGGGTCAAAATTCCAGTGACCTGTGTAAGATCACACATGGGGTGTGTTAAGTCTCTTACTAAGAAACTTCTGAAATACTTCAGTACAGCAGATGAACTTAAATGCAAATCTAAAACCACACCTTTTACTGTTCTTTTACATTTAATTCCTAAATTGATTCAAAATATTTTTTTTAAACAGAATATTATTGCTGAACATGAAATCCGTAACATTTCCTGTGCTGCACAAGACCCTGAAGACCTTTCTACATTTGCGTACATCACTAAAGACTTGAAGACTAATCACCACTACTGCCATGTATTCACTGCGTTTGATGTGGTCAGTGTATAGAAGATATTTCATTTAATAGTTCTCTAATTCTGTGAAAACATTTTCAGGGTATATGGTGATTAGTGGAATGTATTATTCATTTACCACTTGAAAAGACTATTCTACTGTAGGATAGTAAAGGACATTTCTGGAGAAGAGCAAAGATTTTCTTTGGTTTTATCTTATTTCCCATCTGAAGTAACTCAGCTGTTGACTGTAAACTTAGCAAGCAGCTTTTCACACAGGTCTTGACATGGAATTCTTCTAACCTAAGCCATAGCCTTCTAAGAAGTTTGTAACAAGCAAGTTTGGCCACCCATTCTGAAATCTCAGTACACACCAAATAAACACATCAAAACTGGATCAATGTGCATTATATACAGTGCTTAATCCTGCAAAAAGGTAGGTTCAGGAACTAGTTTAAACTAAGTTTGCAGGGTGTCCTTCATTTTTGGTGACGTGGAAGGACAGGTTTGGCGACGCCCAGCCTTTTGGCTTTTACCCTCATGTGTCCACCCCATGCCAACATCCAGCCAACAAGGGGTGAGAAGGTTGGACACTTTCTTGTGGCGGCCCTTTGAGCCTGGACATAGCCCACCCTCATGAAGCAGATGTGCGCTGCTCTTTGGACCAGAGGTCAGATGTTACCACCATAAGTGATTTCTTCAGATTTCTTATCTTGCTGCTCGGTGACTTCTAATGTTGCAGTGTAAGCTAGACCAGTCCCAATAACTCAAACATCTCTCTAAATATTTAGACTTTCTGACATTATATTGAATGAACTAGAAAACTGAAGCTTCCTCTGCAAGTGTGCAGGGAATGTATGAAAAAATTTGTATTTGCTTTACCCAGATAACCAAAACACATGTGTATCTGACAGAGACCACACAGGTAGCTAATTACATATCTCAAGAGGTCCTAGGAATATTTGGCTACCACATCAAATCAGAAAGATTTGAAACATCTGTGATATCTCTGCATTGTCCTTTTTGTGTTTCTGTGTAAGAAGTTACCCCTGTAACTGTCATCAGAGTCTTATTATTAGATGGTCCCTTTGTTCTGCTCTGCTCTTCTCTCTGTCATGTCAGTGGGAGTTTTAGCTTAACAAATAATGCACATAGGGAATTTGGAGAAATTTTATTTTAGCAGCACCTTTACCTTTTCAAAAAGATTGTCTTTATTTTGAAAATAGCAAACTAATCCTTAAATTCTTACTTCCTTGTTCCAACCTTCTTGCCTAAAAATCAAAAGTCCTTACAGATCATGTTATTTTGATGTAAAATGACAAAGTTCTTCCTATATTTATACTTCTCATGTGGTGATAGACAGACTGTCGGTGTTTCAAGAAATCATGAACGTATACAATTAATCAGTCATGCTGTTTTCAGCTAAATCTGGTGAAATACATAGTGACTCTAATTTTCAGGACTTAGAGGGCTTATTGTTCAAAACTTTCGGGAGTACTTGCCCTTTGAGTTAAGCACAAGAGAAATTTAAGATGCTATTAAAACTTTTAAATCATTCAAGAAAAAATGTTTTAATGTAGTATAATGTGTATGAATTCTTGAAAAATGCTTATATGGCTATAAATAAGTTTAAAAAACTAGAAGTAACTGAGGCATTTTGTTTGGGACTGGGGAAACAGTCAACGTTGGAGAGCGATAACATGTAGGAGTGTTTAAATAATGAGATGTACAGGAAGGTACGTTAGAAGGAATTGTAGCATTTTGGTTCAGTGCTTTTGTTGTTTGAATTCCCTACGGACATTTTAATGTCCACAGGGAGTATAAAAAACTCCAAAACTGCATTAAAAATAGATAGACCAAGGTCAACAAGATGTTACATTATATCGATTTTAGTGATAAGTGAGGCAACTGAAATTAGAGTGAAGTTGTTATTTCTCCTGATCCATTTAAATACTTCTTAATGGTTTCAGAGTACTGCGGTTTCATTTATAGGTTTAATAATCAAGCACAAACATAGACCCAGGTATAGCAGATAAAATTCATTTTCTCCTTGGTTGGCAAGGAAGGAATAGTGATCCAGGAATAATTACAACATTTTGCTCACTTCCCGTACCTTAGGAGGAGCACTTAATACCCCAAGCACTTTAAATGGCTATTTTAAGCAATACAGAAACTGTAATGTCTAACTGTCTTAACTTAGTTTTCTCCTGCAACATAACCCTCATGGGGGTGTTACGTACTCATATATTCTGGTTTCGCATTGTTTTATTTATCAGGATCCAGCATTTTTGATGCAAGTACAGACTCCATAAAAAATAGCTAGATATTCAGAACACAAGCATACAGTAAATTGAATTTTCTATTTAAAGTCTAACACTTATGTTACCCTGATTTTCCAGTTTGCTAACAGGAACAATCCTTCCCATTTATCAATGGATAGAAGTCCAAGAAAAATAAGGTTTAAAGGTTTAAAGTGGTAGATATCCACCATAAGGTGTAAAAAAAGATGCATCTTAAATCATATATATTATCGTAATACAATATATGCAATAGTATGAAAAAAAAAATCACTCTCTTAGGTCCTTCGGTTCCTCAGGAAATGTTGGCAAGAACAATTTTTTTGCAGGTAGGAAAGCATTTTAGTGTAGTGACATGTCAACTACCAGCATTACTGATACCATTTAAGAGTGACTATACATGTAACTTCCGTACTCAGAGTTAAAATTCCATCATCAAAATTGCAAAAACATCAGACTTGATTGAAGAATATTAAAGGGGACAGGGTTTGGGGGAAGATGAGTTATTGCTCAATATTTGAAATCCATTTCATTCTTATTCACTTACAAAGCAGCCCTAAAACTACCAGTGAAGGATTTCCTCTGGAGAAACAAACCATCATAACATTTCCTATACCAAATTCTGGTTCATATATGGGAGACATCCAAAGTAGTTTCCATCAGATACTCTTTCATTGCCCGATGCACCTATGAATAGAAGACAACCAGCATAAATTGGGACAGTTTCTGCTCTTCCTCGTGCCAAGAATTAGACTGGTGCTCCGCATAACACAGACTTTTCTGTGTTCTTTTGTCCTTCATTGCACAGACTTAAGCTGTATAAGAGTTGGGAACTGCTAGTACACATACTTAGCAGAGAAGAAAAAGCATGCATTTGGGTCTCAAAGTTCTGTTCATTGCCTTCTTTCAGGGGATTAGGGGATTTTATAAATTCTTTTCTCTATTCATATGATCATCCAGGTACAATCTGTGACATGCCTGTGTCTCCAGAACAGAAAACTTCTTTCCTTTGCAGTACCCAGAGGCAGCATGCCCAGACAGTCCCTTCTCTGGGGCATATTAGGTGGGATGTATAAAACCATTGCAGTTGCTTCTGGCAGACTTCTTGAGATGGAGCACACAGCTTTCAGCTCATGAGCAAATGAATCTCTCCTCTCTCATCTACATCAATGGCTTCTGCAGCAGCACAAAAGGCCCGCTTTGAAGGCTTGTTTCCATCCTCCCGTTGCATACAAGATATCTTTCTGTGCTGTATTAGAAGAGGGGAATGGATTCAGAAGAGTTTGCTGTCCAAGGCTGGTTTAAATCCAGAATGAGAAGGGATCAAGAATTTAAGTTGCAGGAGTGCCTGATCCTGACAGCTTCATGCAGCCCGGGAGTCCACGGCTGTTACAAACAAATGGCACCTTGTTGGTCTCGTCACACCATCCTCGGTGAGCTGAGCTTTATCCCCCTTGAATGCACAAAGGCTGACACATTGGAAAGTGCAGACAAATGCCCTTTTCAGATCCACCCAAAATAAAAGTTTTGTTGGCTGGAGGGATGAAGCATATGTAAACTTAACAGTGTAAATGTATGTCAGCTCTGCATCTCTCATAACTCCCGTTACTAGTAAGTAACCTTCCCTTCTTGTCAGGATTTTGTAGCAAAAATCTTCAACATCTGTCCTTGAAGACTCTAGTATGACTAAGCAGCAGGCAACTGATTTCATCCCAGTGGATGGATATTTTGAACTGGGTTGTGATTTTTCAGATTTTTCAAGGAAAGATTCCATATACCCTGTTCTGCTCAACTTTGCCAACTGCGATTTTAAGTTCAGTACCTTGAAAGCAAGGCATCCTAATTGACATTCCTACACATCTGATGTGATGGGTAGCTCACACTAATCATCTGCGAGACTCCAAAGAAAGCATCCTCAGTAAGTTCAGTCTTCAAAAAAGACCATATTTGCCATTGATCTTAAAGAAGGAAAAAACAATCATCACATAAAAGCAAGAACCCTGTAAAATCTTACTTCTGTTTTTTTCAAAATACAATTTTTCAGATAGCTTTTTTAAATTTTACAAGGTACAATTTTAAAGCCCTCCTTGCCTCCATTTGCAGACTTCTTTCTGTCAAGGCTCTACCTCAGTGCACGATATATGAAATCTATGTACAAGTTACAGTTCCGCTTACATTTTGAATATTGAACAGAAGAGTGAATGTTCTATTTGCTATATTTCAAATAGTTATTAACCATAGAAACACTTACATGTTTCCCATGGCTTTCAGGCTCCAGGCAGGCCTATTCTTTCATTTCACAAACTAAAAAAGAGAACAAATCATAGTGGCTTCTGACGAGATGCAGGACTCAGGCTAGATTTATGGCTCAGCATGGCAAACTCTCTGCTTGTCTGCACTCTTATCTCAGAGCTTTTCAGGTCTGTCTCCCAGTGACCTTTTTGTATGCCACCGGATGGCACATTTTTTCTCCAAGCCATTACTACACCCTGTCCTGTTGATGTATTCCTTAGCAATAATAATGTCCACTGTAGACAATCCTGTCATGATGTAGTATACTAGTTTACTGTCATGACAGCTGATTAAGATGTCTTTAGAATAATATTCTTGTCCTACTAATACACATGCTCCATTTCAAATAAGATTATTGTGTACATTTTTGACAATTATACTCTGTTGGTCTTATTTCCATAGACAGCATTCTGCTAAAAGGCAGGATACTTTGTTATGGTCTCTTTAGTCTTTCATTTATTACTCCACTGGCAAACTGCATCCTCAGTGTTTCTCGGTCCTGGACAGTTTCCTTAAGTTAAAGGGGAGACAATTCGGAGACTACTGCTGTCAAATCGGGCAGACATTTTTATTTGGGAAGCTGTGAAACTTTGGCTAGCTTGCTGTTGTGACTGCAGTCATAAGAGCTGAGAGCGTATCCCACTGGAGGAGTATAATTGTTTTCTGTCTGACCTAACAAAGACCAGAGCTGGCACCTTTATAAGAAGCTCTTATAATGAACTAAATATGCTGAATTTAGCCTATACTAGCTCAGTATAAATGTATGTTAACAAATGGATGGAATATCTTCATAACTGCAGTGAAATTACAGTGTAGGGCATAAAATAAAATGCTTATCCTTTTAAATGTGTTTTAACAACTGAAGGGCAGATAGTGTACTTCCAAGTGTCTTGTATTGCTTTCTGGCTTACTGCAAACTCAGCAGTTAGATTTGTCTAGCTAAAAGAGATATCTCACTTAAAATTATATCAGAAACAAGACAATTTTAAGGGATCACCTAATTTCAAAGCAATTCAGGATTGCTTCCAACTATGGGCTACAGAGGTTGAGGAAGGATAGGGTAACTTTGGAATTACATCAGAGACTTATTAATTATTCCAGGGAGACTATAGGATGTAAGGAGGCAAGCTTCCAGGCTTGCATTTGCTCTGCAGGGGTTCAAAACATTATTGCAAACATAGTACCCGAGAAATAGGCTCTTGTAGGAGCCTAAAAATATATATACCAAAAAAAACCCACAAACCTGAAGAAAAATTACCGTAGAAATTCACTTGTCGTTTACATTAAGGTAAAATTTGAAACTCACAGCTGCTTTTTCATTGATGTAAAGCTACTGAAAAAATATTTATATACTGCTGGTTCCTCATTCATGCTTTATAAACCTTTCAACAGGTTTTCTTCCACATACGCAATGAGAACTTCAAGTATTCTACTTACACCACCGAACTGGTCTTAGTCTTAAGAGCCTGACTACTTTGGTCATGCACACTAACCCCCACCACTTAAAAGAGTCTTCTGACATGCCAGTTTAAGCTCAAACTTTTTTACTTCTAGAAGACGAAACCATGAGAAGGTTTCCCCAGCACTTGAAACACGCATCAAAGCAGAGCGCTGACTTTCATGCGTGCATAGGTGCACCACGTCCCTGAAGCAGAGCACGCCCGCCCAACATTTGCTTTTTGTCCTTTTGGAAGCGTCACCCCAACGCCGCGGCCTCCTCCTGCGCTGTTCGGTGGGAGCACAGGGCCCCCCGAGGCGCACACCCCACGTCGGGCTGCCCGCTCTGGAGGAGGACGGGTCAGCGAGGGGGGGTCTGAAATAGAGCAGGGCTGAAGGTCAGATAGGTGCAGTAGTGCAAGGGGGGTGGGATCCTGAGAGCAGCAGACACGGGGTGAGCTGGGAAAGTGGGGGGGGAGCTTAATGTACTTGTCTGGAAAAGACATGACACACACTCACCCACTCCTGTTTTCATGTTTAGTGAGACAATGTTTTCAAGGTTTTTAGAAGTAATTATTTTGTGTACAATAAACGACATTTACACTGTTTTTAATCAGTGAGAAATCAAATGACAGAGGTAAATATTCCAGCGACTAAGGAAGTTATTACCAGCATGATTTTAATTACTTACTCTACAAATCCCTTCTGTAGACAGTACTACCCCACTTCAGGTATCTGATGATAAGTCAACCTCACTTCAATTTTAACTGTTTTTGTTTTGTTCCAGAATTTAGCTTACGAAATCATTCTTACACTAGGACAAGCATTTGAGGTGGCCTATCAGCTTGCACTACAAGCACGAAAAGGGGGCCATTCTTCAACCCTCCCAGAAAGCTTTGAAAACAAACCCTCCAAACCTATTCCCAAACCACGTGTTAGTATTCGGAAGTCGGTGGTAAGTAGAAGGTAGTCGTGCATGCAAAAAGGCAAAATTCAGCTGTACAATTAAGAGTTGATATACTAGAATCTGTATAAATAAATACAGCTGTTGAGTCAGAAATGCTGCATGTCTGTCGTGCCACCTCTGCTCATCAGCTGGTAGGGTCGGGTCACTGCAGCACAGGCAGCTGTTTTGAACAACTGCTCATTTCAGATCCCTCCAATTTAAGCTATTGCCTGACTAGTGCTGTGCATATGTCTTTGATAGTAATTGCAGATATTTAATTGGTTTGGTCTAATTCCAATCTATTGTGCTTTTTTAAGTGCTGAGGATCACAGCCAATGCATACCTCTAAAACTCCGCAATTCCATGGACTTTGCTGATCTCCTATTGAGAAATTAAAATCCACACCAAACTTGTTTGGTACATGATCACTGCATATGTATCCTAATGAAATTACAAATACAAATAAATTTACTGTTATCTTGTCAGACCAAGCAACTTCTTTTCTTACTCTTTTTTTTTTTTTAAACCTGCAGCAGACCCTCCTATTCCAAAACTAGCATTCAATATACCTTCTCAGTATTTGTTTTGGAGTCCCAAGCTCCTAAGAATGCAAGCTCATTGGAGCCTACATGTTGATTGTCTTTAGAGTGCCATTTCTGAAGTGCATAGATGACAGAGAAATACTCTCTTATGATACAGCTTTTACAAAAATTATGAAGACTATTTTAAATCAAGTGAGAATACCGGCACAGGGTGGGGGGGTGGGGGCGAAAGGGGAAAAAATGACTGCACGTTGTATCATATTCAGTGGTTATAAAGTAAGAACCGTACTCTGTGATATTTAATGATTGGATGAGAGGAAGGGGAAAAAATGTATGACTGTACACTTTGTCATCCATTGCCACAGAATCTTCCTCCATAAAATTTTAAGAAAGACCATTTCCTGATGCCATCATCTGTCTCAGTAGCAAAAGGACTTCTCAGGATCAAGCATGGCTTTGACGAACTATGATGCCCTGTAGCTTGGGGGTAGACACAGCTCTGATCTAAACAGGAAAAAGAGGGCAACCGTGGGTACGTGGGAGTGTAGACCACCGCACTGGCTGCTGTAGGACTTTGTCGATACAGGATTTGTTCTGTGTTCTATTCGCTTAAGGAAAAAACTTCTTCTAGAAATGCTGTGCGCAGAGATGGTAACCCGTCTGTATGTTTGCGTTTGTCTTAAAGCAGATAGATCCATCTGAGCAAAAGACTCTTGCGAATCTACCATGGATTGTTGAACCTGGACAAGAAGCCAAAAGAGGCATTAATACCAAGTATGAAACTACAATTTTCTGATACAAAACTGTCCCCCTGTTCCTTGTTGTGCCTTGCACGCCAAGCAGTCACAGCACAGCCTTTCCTTTATGGCAACGTTTCAATCCAGCAGAGAGGAAGACTGCACTGTATGAGTGGCCTTGTAACTAACAAAAAAGGCTGACAGTCATTTCTGGTGATGTTCTTCTTCCTGCAGCACTGACAGAAGAATGACACTATATGAAGACTTTTAAAATTACAGTCCACAAGAGGAGTGAGAAACCTTATTTTTCACGCAGTTCTCCCTTGTGACTCTGCCACAGTGCTTTCTTTGATTTCTTCTTTTAGAATTCTACTTTTTAAAGAAAAAAAAACCACAAGGTCTCTAAACTAACACTAATGCTGCCTACGAGTAGAATATTTGATTGGTTTTTTTATTTAAATCTTGGCAGTTTTTAATTGAAATAGAACCAGAATTAATAAATAGAGTATTTGTGAAACCACTGAATTCATTAATAATTACTGTGTTGAATAAAAAACTCATTAAAGTGACAAGAAATTAGGCACCCTGATTTCTGTGTGCACTGGTTTTATATGTAATCATTGGTGTCCTTTGATCCTCTACAGAAATAGGAACCTCTTGCATTGTAACAAAGGATCAGAGTTTTATGAAGGGTTAGAAAAAGGTATTAATAATGCACAGAAAACGTTTATTAGATATTTTTATGGAAGAGAAGTACTATAGGAAAACATATGAATATTTATGGAAGGAAGCCAGATTAATTATGACAAATATTGTTTATTTTAAAGTTAAGTAAACCACTGCTATTGCAGCATTATGAAAATTATAAGAGTTGTAGCATCAGTGCACTGGATGTTCCGTGTGATCAGTCTGGAATGAAAGTGGAATGGTCATTCTACTACACCTACATATAGTTTATGCAGTTCAACATTGCTATAGCCATGAATTCTACTTGTATTTTTAAAAAATAATCTCAGTGGTTCTAAAATAAGTCAAAACCATGGATTTTGCTATCAAGATTTGTGTCACAGAAAGCTTGTTTGGAAGAGTGTTGATAAAATTCTGCTGCAAAAACATTTTCTAAGTAAAAATAGTGAGAAAAAGAAAAAAATTCCAAAGTAATAAAAATGTTTTCATGGAACAAAATAGTTAAGCATTTGCTTAATATTTGATTAAATAAGATTTACTTACATTTTCTTTGAAGTGTTTTAATTTTTTTAATGTCTGTGGAGTATTTGTATAATACCATGATGTATATTTATGTAGAACTGAAATTATAACAGTACAAATATCACTATAGGAGAAAAATGACATTTTAACGTATATTGTTCTATCCAGTCAAATTGTGAATCATTTTGAAGTTCATTATAGAGATATTGATAAATTGTGTGGTTGTCTTAATGTTTTTTTATTATTATTTCATATCCAGCTGAGGTTTTCAGTTAGAATCATCAGTTGGTAAATTCCAAAATAATTGAACTTGGCTTAAACCTGATAATTGTATATGGTTTAGTTAAACCTAATCATAGCGCTGAGTGATGACATACTTTTAATACAGTATTCAATTTACTTGAACAAAATAGTTCCTTGTACATATTTTTGCCTATTCACTGTTGATATGTACGTAGTCAACTGACAGTAAAAAAATAACACTTAAAATATGGTACCAAAAGGAAAATTGTATAGGAGAACAGTAAATAGTAGCCTCACTGCAACAAATACTTATGTAAATATGCTTGGGCTTCCAGTTATAAATTTTGTAATTTTGTCATTTATTTATATCCTATAAAAGCACACAAAATAAAATGAAGTTGTACAGTCCCAGTTCTTTTTGCATCATTTTATCATTGTTAAAGGAAATAAGGGGCCTGATCCAGAGGATACTGAAATTGGTGAAAGGTCTTCCCACTCCCTTCCCTTGATTTCACTGGGCTGTGGATCTTGTTCCACACAAACCCAGGCATTGCTGTGGAGATGGTTTTGGTTTAGAATACAGATTTTGTTTACAGGTGGTAAATACTTCACACTTTAAAGTCCTTAATTACTTTGTTCTTTGGTGCACTACTGACCTCCCATATTTGATCGCAACCTGTAAAGACTCGCACAGGGAGTTATGTTAAAACACATTCACTACAGGCACCAAAAGTACAAAGTGTCCAGATTTTCAGGCTATAAAACTGGGGCACCTCTTGTGTAGCTGAACAACCCCTAAAATTAAAGGATGAGACAGAAGTTGCAACACAACTCTAAGCAGATTTAAGGGAAAGGAGAGAAACAACAGGAAGAACTGGCAACTTGAAGGAGGAATTTGATGTAGGCTCATCAAAGAGATGTCAAGCAGGTAAGGTGGCACGGTAAGCAGCTGAACTTGTTTGGGAGAGATAATTGGGGCAAAAGAGACTGAGACAGATGAAAGACTGGTGGCGCAGGGAATGAGTATGAGCAGAAAAGTTTTGGGATGAAGTGAGGCAGTGAACAATTGGATCCCCCCACAGCAGACATAAATTGAAACTGGAAGGAGAGATAAGAATTAACAAGCATAAGGCATTTCTGTATTTGCAGAAACATTGGATTTTAAAGGGAAACATTTCCCTCACTTACTGATAGTAGTGTAAGCTAGCTGGAGAGAAGTCCATTGGGTCCCCTCTGGCATGGGACAGTGGTTCAGCATTCCTTTCTTCAGATCCAGATGTGCAAACCTGCCACAATTGAAACCAATTACCATTTTACTTTTTAGTCCTTTTTTGGTCAAGGTGATTGTCCATTCAAGTTCCTAGTACGCTGGAAGTGTGTGGGCAGTAAGGGGACAATAGTCAGTCTTAAAAGTGATGGTAGGGGAAAAGCCAGACACCTCCAAAGCATCAGAATGTGAGGAAAATGGCTATTCTTGACCTCCGGTCAAGGTAAGAGGGAAGCAGAGGCAGACAAGGAGTGTATGTGAATAAAGTGGAGCATTTGGATGTTGCAAAACCAGGAATTGATTGCAACAACTGCCTTACACTGTGAGGGTCAAGAACAGGCAAGAGAGATGACATGAAAGTAGACTGCATGTGACACGAGAAGATGAAGATTGGAATCTTTAAAATGAAGTAAGTGTGGGTGACAAAGTATTTTGAGAATTATTTGGGTCATGAGGGCTCCAATATGCAAGGTAAAAAAGCAGCTGCTGTAAGAAGGCTTAAAGACTGGAGAAACTCCTGAGGAACCGATGGGGAAATTCTGTGTTGTAGAGGTGGAGGGTTTCCTAAAACAGGTGGATTTCGGACTGGACATAGTGACTACTCCAACCTGGCCTGCTTTTTATTAAAAGCCAGAGGAGCTACTGCTCACAGCTGGCAGGAGGAGAACGCATATCTGGTTCTGGTATTCTTGGTATTCTGCCAATAAATTCATGAGGCTGCTTCTCTTGCAGAAGCACAGTGTTACACACATACCTTGCAGTTTGAAGGCAACATCTTGGCATCAAAAACTGGCATGGCCATGAGATGGTGACCACTGGGAAGAGAATTAGCAGGTCATGAAGAAGGTTGTGTCAGTCCTTTGGAAAAGAAAGCAGCATGCTAGACAACTAACAAACTTTCACATCCAACTGTGAAATAATTTATAGCTTCCGTTCTAGATTAAAGCAGGCAGCTTGTGCCATGTGCACAAGTCTCATTTCATTTTGCCCTAGATTTCTTTCAATGTGTGCTGTTCAGCTGTCCCACTTCACACTTCACTGGAGGATGATGTCTAAGATGTCATCAAGACAACAGTCTAGAAATAGTAACTTCAACTGTCTCCAAACTACCATCCCAGAGAACAAATGGCTACAGAAAACCTGTGTGGCAGTGACAAGCGTGTAAGTGAAAGGCATGGCATAAGGAGTAGAGACAATATTTAGATGTGGGCACTTGTCTAAGAAGAGGGATATCCATTATCTCAGGTAAAAAGACAAGCTGAAGAGAGTGGGAGAAAAAAGGACTCTACTTGCAGGAAACATTGACAGGATTTTCAGCTCACTGGAAAGCACAGGGGGATGATGCTCAGGCTTCTACTGAAAAGCTTTGTAACTGTTTAGTACTCTGACACTTCTTTAGGTGAACCAACGTCTTTGCTAAACTGGCAAACTGATCATACTGCTATCAAGTTCACCCTTGAATGCACTAGTGTTAGTTCACTTTCACACCTGTGAGCTGACAACACAAGCTAGGCAGAGGCTGATCACAAGCTCAGATAAGTGAAACAAAACATGCTAGATCCACTTGCAGCCAGAGTTCACACTAGGATGTAGATTTTGTAGAAGTGGTGGGTGATTTCCTTCCTACTGACTAGGCAGTCACACTCATCCTCATTACGATCCCAAATTCAACCAGCCAAAAAGCTCTGTCCTATTGAAAAGGCAGAAGAGGGAAATCAGGGAAATGGCCTAAGGTCCTTGCCTTCCAGGAAGGATATGCTCCAGATGCAGAAATGGGAAACAGCACGGCCATGCCTGGCTCCAGCTCTTGTGCAATACTGCAGGCAAACTTCTCTCCAGTCCTATTTAACATTTATATGCATTTGCTAGTGCCACGTCCTTCAACTCTTCTGCTCTGGAAGTCAGGTACTTAGATATCTTTGAGAATGTGGGTCTGGGTAAAGTGGTAATAACTAGACAGACAAAAATACTATCATCCGTATGCAAACAAGGCAAAATTCTCTCTCTCTCACCTCTTGCCACCAAGAGCTTGGAAAACTACTTTTTCTATCAATCAAGAAAGCTGAATTCAAAACACTTTACAACCACATAAGGAAAAGTAAAGCTTAGACAGAAACTGAGGGCCTTAGACCTCTTCCTCACACATAGAAAATATATCACAGATTTAATGTCATAAGCTCACTTAATTGTAAGATACATGCCTTTTTGTCTTCTTTTTTTTAAACATGGCAATTCCTACTGTTACGTCATTAGAACAACTGCTCAGATTCTCCAGATACTTATCCAAAGCTAAATTTCTTCTAATATTGAATCCTTTTAAAAAACAAAATGAAAAATTCATGCACAATGTTAAGGGTGAGTCAGTGCTTGAGAGAACATGTCCAGATTTCAAGGCAGTATATTTGTTATCATCTTTCCTAAACACATAATAGGAAACCCAGAAAGTCAGGGTAAGACAAAGGAAATGGCAATACGCTCCAGTATAGAGAATACCCAAAGAGCATTAACTTTATCCTATAGTGACACCATGAGGAAAAAAAGAAATAGACTACACTAATTTTTAAAATGCATTAGAGACAGTGCAGTCTTCATTCTTCTGCTTGTGACTATTGGATAATGATAATTTCTAGGCTGCAAAATTAAGGGCTTGGGCATGTTCTAAGCAAAAATATCCTAATGCATATAATTGAGGCTAGCATAACATTTCTTGAGTTTATGTTGCAAAGATTAATATTTTTTTCAAGTTATCTTTATATATTTATACAGTTATATAATGACTGGAAGGTATCAGTGATGGATTAGGTGAACAATTCTGTGGTGGATTTGAGTGATTCTACTGAAACCTCCAAGTATCTGAGAATGCTGTGCATGAGTGGAGGTTAATATGAAAAGATATTAGATTATTCACCATGGCCATCTCTCTGTCACAGCCATTACATTTCACACAGCTATACTTTTGTAAAGCTTCAAGAATTACCTAGGCCAAATACCTCAAACCTAGAAAATTAAACTGATTGCTACAAGAAGTAAAAAAAAAAAAAAAGAGACTACTAAGGTGCATTCATTATCCCCAGCCCCTGATGTGGCAGGAAAGCCCTTAGGTGAGAAGTACCTATGTAATTCCAGCTGGTGATACACAGGGCCTGCCCCCTATACTACATTAAGTGATGGGGAAAGGAAAGATATCCCTGCCAATCTGACTTGGGGGAAATCTCTTCCCCAGCCAGAAGTCTAGTCATAACATGATGTAGTCTGAACAGAAACTGCACTAAGAAAACAAAAAGATGAATACATGTCTCACCTGAAGGCACAGCTAACCTGTGTTCAATACTGCACTTCCTAAAGCAGCCAACCTCAGAGGAAGGTGGAAAGATTTAAAGGTCAAATGATACAGTACAAGAGTGAAGATCTTCCTGATCCACAGATGACCAATAAACCCCCAAAATCTTAGTATTTCATTACAGTCACTCTTCTAGCACAGACTATGCAGACCTGGGACAAGGAACTTTATCAGAGGGTTTCATATGTGCCTTGCTGTACCTATTTTTGGGTGAGACATGCAAAGCCAGGGAATAAAGGTTTTAGCTTTATAATAATCCGTAACATTTGAAGCATATAGAACAGCTGGGCGCATTTAAGTTGAAACTGAATGTTTTTCTGAGATGTTTGTTTAGACTGTACTGTGTAGAGAAGCAGAAATTGAGAACTAATTCCCTTGCTTTACATGATGTTACAAGGTGTTTTTCAATTCCAGCCAGTAGAACTTATTCTTTTGTCATATCAGCCAGGCTGAAATGTCCTGCATCTCTCCCACACCTCACTAACGGGTCACTTTTCAGCCGTCCCTCCAATTCAACAAAACAAATTCAACTCAGACTTTATACTGCAAGACTTTTGCCCAGCCGATGGTCACTTTTTGTGGTCCTCTTCTAAATTTTGGTTGAATCCATTTTGTCCCCGAAATACAAATACCGGAGCTCTATGCCCTACTCCAGCTTGTCTTATTAATGAAGCACATAGATCACTTCCTCCCTCCTTCAAGATAGAGCCTCTTTAAGTACCCACGAGCCCTATTTATGTACTACTGCAGACACTCTGGAGTTTGTATGGATGATACCATCCACTTCCATTTCCACACCAC